TCTTATTTTAGTACAGATGTATGCTTTTGGGGATAGGGTGTTGAGCTAAATCATTTTAAATGTGATTCCAAGAGGGTAACTGAATGTTTCCTTAATGAATACATGCATGGTGCTATTGCTATGATTATAAGCATGGTGTGACAAGAATTTAAGTTACTTCTCCTCCCCAGACTTATGTCTTCAATTTATTTTCCATTATGTTGAAGGCACCTGTTTTTTCCTGTTGAGAACGTAAAAGTGTTCACTGAAATCATAAGAGGAACTACAGGAATATGTGAAAAGTAGTCACCTCTTATGATTTTAATAATTCTGTAGCATTTATTAGATTCTTTGTTGAATCACTTTATGATATTGATGGCATAATTTAAAGTGACAGGAATAAAGGAACGTGATTTTTAATGTCATGACATGAGTTGTCACAAAAAAGGAAGATTGAGCTTAATTCAGCCAAATGGCTTACTAAGAAGTCCTGGTACTTAAAAAACTGAGGTTTACCTTTTGCTGAGATCAGATAGCTCAAGCTTTGATTTTTCTTTTAGATGAGACAAACTGACTGAATAGAAGATGAAAATATTGTTTTAATTTTGATCTTCATATTACGTTGTAGCACATAAATACCAGTTTTTAAGAGGGAACATGTAAAAAATGGTAGCTTGCAGCAGAAGAGTGCTAGGTGCAGATGTTTGCCTGTCATGTTCTATTTTGAGTTAAATATCTGCTAAAAAAGAGTTACATTCTCTTTTTAACTAAAAAAATAGTGGGAATTTATTTCCATATCTTCTTTTTTAATTGTTGCACATAAAGTCAGCAAAACAGGTTTGGAAGAAAACATTTATATTTTTCCAGAAGAGATCATATGGAAGCATTACTTGTTTTCAAAATAAGCGTGCATTGATTCAACTTTAAAATGTTGTCCCACTTTACCTTCTATTTTTTTGGCTCAGTTTAATACAGACTGCTTCAGTACTATGTCTATATGTAATACAGATAACAACAGGGAAAGTTATCAGCTAACCATGACACCCCTCTTTTGTCTCTTCTGTTACCGAATATTGGCCTGGGAGGGTATAATCTGTGTCCTAGTCTGGGCGAGTCAAACCTGAGGATTTTCGTTTGCTTTCTAGATCTAGAAAGCACTGTGTTCTGTGGTGAAATAAACCACTAAATCAGAGTAGGGAACCACTAAATCAGTTGTTGTATCTCCTTTGTTCAATTATTTGTTTTTTTTCATGTTATTGACACTTCTGGTTTTAGCGAAGTATCAAGGATTTTTGGAATTATTTGGTCAGCAGGATTTTTATTGCAGTCTAGGAGTCCAGTTTTTATTATCAGGCTATCTCGACTGAAGTAGAATGAGAACTGCATGTTCGCTAATGTCAGTAAAAGGCACAAACATGATATTAGGGGTGGTACACACCATGTGGGCACTATGGCCACATGCATACTGTTCACCTGACATTTAAAGAGAATTTATTAACCAGCATTTTCCCCAGCCCAGTTTTATAATAAATGGAGTTCATTTCTATTTGACAAACTCTGAACAGACCTAGAATGTTAGTAGTGTATCAAACTAACAAATCCAATAGCAGAGTGACTGTTTATGAAAGCAGTAGTTATTCTAGTACAGTTACTGGCAAAAAAAACATATACACGGGGGACATCCCTTATCTGGAATGAAAGAATGTGAAACAGGCCAAAGTTTAATTTTCTGTGGAAACTCATTTAGAAAACAGCAGTATCTATTTTACCATACACTGTTCCCTAAAGAACAGTAACACAGGGAATACAGAGCAGCCATCTAAGTAGAACTCTTTTTACTAATTACTAGTTTTCTTTTAATGGAAAAATCCATTAAGAATGAAATGTAAAATATCTTCATGGATGCACGGTTACCAAAAGAAAGTACTGTTTAAAAATAAAATACCCTGTGTGCTTAAACCGAGGAAAAGTGATTGTTTGGGGATTTTAACAGCATATGTAATTCATACATTGCAGGGTATGAACAATAATTTTTTCCAATAGATAAAATACTAAATAATGGTATTATAAATTAAAATGGGGAAAGTAACTACTATGTAAAAATAATAATTAGAAATACATTTAAAAATTGAAAAAAATAGCTTGAGGCAGGGAGAAGTGTTTCTAAATGACTATGTAAAGTTTCTGGATCACAAAGAGTCTGAACTCGTTTGGAAAGTATTTTTGCTGTGACTCTGTCTATATGACTATCATGGTTTCAAAAGGCACTGTTGGCTGAAAATAGCAAATTCTAAATTGCTGATTTTGTTTCAGAAGTTTGTTACCTGCCATAGAAAATCACTTGTCACACAGGGTTACAGGTCTTGATATTGTCTCAGAGTCAATTCATGCACCAGTAGAATTACACCACAGCCCCTGATTTTAAAATGATCCATCATTTTCTTAAGCAGACTATTGTTTTTAGAGGAGTTTATCCTATCAGATGGGGATTTTTTTTCTAATTATACCAGTACATTGATGAGAAGTAAATTACCGTCTAAGATACTGGCTGGTGTGTGTGATACTGGACTATGGCTGGATGTTCTTCGGATTTCTATATCATCTTTTTAAGAGCAGTGTCAAGAGCTAATGACTGTGATTTGATCCCACATTATCAGAGCTCTTGTTATTGAAAGGATTCATCATGCATAGAAATTATTTGTGCTTCAGCTAGAGGCCATATTCTATGCTCTCAGTATTCGGCATGGAACATGCTGTCTTCATTTCTACTCACCCATGAAACAAATGACAGAAGGGAAGGGACAAATGCAGCCTATTTGTCATTTTCCCTCTGTGCCTCCTCTCCACCCAGATCAATAGAAGAATGGAAGGAGCGATGAACACTCCTACTAAATGTAAAACTAAAGTAAAACAGAAAAGCATGAAGTGACCTTTTCGGTTTTCTGCTTTTCAAAAAGGCACACACACACAAAAAGAGAGAAAAACAAAACAAAGCCGCAGACCCAAAGCCCAGGAATAATAAGCTCCAAGTGGCTTAACATCACCCTGCTTTCCAGGACCACTGTATTTGGTAGAGCATATTATTAACAAGGGAATTGTTGCTTCCTGACAGTTGAAGAAATCCTGGTAAAGTTCTAATAACCACTTTCTGTTTGAGGAGTGAAGTTTCCCATGAGAGAACAACTTCCATTGCTATGTCCCTCACTATTCCCACTGCTAAAGGGAAGTTTCACCTGGTGAAGACAGTGAGCAAGAGCATTTCTTCTGTAGGAGCAGGATAAATAGGTCATGCCACAAAAAAGCATCAGCACCCCCCAGGCATAGGTCCTTAACAGCTAAAGGATCCAATATGTGACTGTAAGGTTGGTATTGATTGAAGCTGCCTTAAGCACCATCAGTAACCTAGAGTCTGCCTCTGGAACTCTGTACTATAGGTTGCGTTAGATACAATATAGTTTTTGTGTTTTCTGTGGAGCTTAGGAATTGTAAGAAATGAAATGTTAATATTTGTTTCCTTCAGAGGAGCTTAAAAAGGTGGTTTGATACAACTTCAAGACCAAATTCATCAGGAAATATTGTACTCAGTTTATATATATGAACATTTGTACCTTACTTTATTTTTAGCAGTGTGGTATAAGCTCGGAGTCAGCCTGAAACTAAGAAGATGTATATTTAAATGGAGCAAAGTTCATTTTTAAGTAAGTTGAGATGTTGGCAAAGCTGTGCTACACTGAATGAAATGCAGTTTGAGTCAATAAATTGCTAAAGAATTGCCAGGTTTTAAGTGTAGATGCAAAGTCCTATTGCCTTATCAAGTCACCCTCTAATTTACGACAGCCCTGCATACACCCATGGTGCTGCTATTGTAATGTTTGCTGCTAGAAGCAAAAAAAAAAAAGAGCCCTTGGACCTTTGAAAGTGCAGTCATTCTTTTCCTTCTTTAAATTAACCTGCAATGGGGTATTAGAGACTACATGGTTTACATTAATCCAGTAACAGAACATATTCTATTCCTGTGTAAGAATAGTTTTAAGTATAGTTAGTTGCCTCTGGTAATAACTGGTGATTTTTAGAGTTTTCACTGAGTATCAAGAGAGTTTCTATCTTCGTTCAGTTGACAGGTGGGCTTATATTTTAATTGAATCCAGTCATTCATGACTCAAAAATAAATGCCTTTGTGATAAAGAAAGACTGATCAGAAAGCAGGAGGTTTAGTCCACTGTGTGTGTCATGGATAAGGAAAACTTACTTTTTTTTTTTTTTTGTGCCATTTTTCCTATAATCTAATAACTTCCATTCATTGAATTCTGATTTCTTTTTCCCCTAAGCAAGTACATATTTGAACTTATTACTCTTGCTTATTTTTTATTATTATTACTTCTTGCTTTCAGTAATTGCACTTAACTGCCAAAGCAAGCCCTTGCTCACATGAATATTCAGTTCTATCCAACTAAATCTTGTTACCATGTTATCACCATTAATTTTTTCCCTTAGAAATGTTTAGGTTAATGTTTTCCCTTTGCTCTGGAAGCCATACTTCTCTGGAGAGCTCCCTATTACATTGCCATACATTAAACATCCTCTGGACCCTGCAACTTCCGACATGAGCCTCAAAATAATACCCAGGAGATCCTTAATAACAGATTCTGCTGAAAGGAAGTGTTTTTGAACATTGCCATTTGGTACCCATTGTAGACTATGGGTATTGTTAGGGTTGTCCTCTATATGCAGGAGTGAAACTCATTATGATTTCTCAGATATGACAGTGCAGTAAGAAATGAGAGACTTTGAGGTGTTGCTGCTGTTGTGCTCATGTTTTGCGTGCTTTGTACCTAAGAACTGTAGTAAAAAAAAAAAAAAAATCTGGTCTTTTCTCCTTAAATCTTGCTTTCTCAGGAGAAGAAAAAGACCACAGATGCTTGTGGGAGAGCTTGAATAACCCAGGAGACACTATTTCTTAAGATGCAGTACAGCAGTGTTGATATTCAGCTGTCTAATTCAAGCTGTCCTTGTTTTTGTAGATCCATTACTGGATATTTTAAGGAGGACTGTAAAGGGAAAGAAGTGCCTTTCCAGCTGTTTACTGATCATCCTGATTAGGTGAGCAGCATGGGAATGAACAATGGGTCTTTTGAAACTTTACTGTTGGAGTCCTGAAGGTTTGCTTCATTAGCACTGTACTCATGGTGTCAGCCAAGGCTTCTCACTCCAGCCTACTTTTTCACGGAAAATCATGTCTCTTTTTTTTTCATTCTAATGAAAAATCACTTTATGTACATATACCCAAGTATTTTTATGATATTTAGATTGTTACGAGAGCCTCCTGCTATTCAGGTACTGGGATTCCTTCCCTGCTGCTTTATTCCCTTCACTTCCATTTCTTTTTCTGTTTTCCGTTCTGTACATTTGCAAGAATTGAAGAATGGCTGAAATGCATGATCCATCATCTCAGTGGAGAGAAAAGAAAATAAAAAGGAAATCTGGATATTATTCACTTTATGTATATACTCTCTTAAAAAGCATAGGGACATAGAAAAAAAAATATCTGAAATTTGGAGACTTCCTACCCCCCCCCCCAAACTCTATCTTTTCAGCTAAGTTTATTTCCTTTATTATGTGTAGAGCTGAACTTCAGGAGAAAAGAATTATTTCTAAGTTGGCACCCATGATATCTTCAGCTTTGTTGAACAGAATTACTTGCTTGCCCCATTAAGCAAAGCCCCATGGAGTTTGCATTTATTCAGTCACTTGTTAAATAGGGACATATTTTGCTGGAGGGGCTTGAGAGTTTCCTTTTCTAGAAGAGCAAAAAGGACATTATCATCAGTAGGTTCTTTTTGCACCTTGTGAAAAATGAAACATGCTGCACAGTAGGGAAGGAAAGGGACTGATGTTTAAAGGATAATTTCTATTTATGGAGATATTTTTCACAAGACATTTCTGTAAGCATTAGCACACAAGCTCATCCTGGGTACAGTCTAGCAACATTTCAGGGATGTAAAAGCACAGGGCCAGAAATATTGTCAGATATTTGTTAAAACATACCTATTTCTATTACAGGTCCTTGTCTTCTCATGATAATTGCGATCAGAAATTGAAGATGAGTGGATGCTTCAGTATTGTCCTTCTGTTCACAAAGATTTAGTCAGAGGCTGTCTGCCAATCTGATAAGACAATGAGATGCAGAAGTGTGAGGGAGGAAGAAAAAAGAAAGCAGAAGCTGAAACACCACAGGACCCCTCAAAGGCAACAAAACAGAAGTTAACCCACCGTCTCCCTTCTGATCTGTCCTTCTGTTCTCGTACAGCTCTCCAGAACAAGGGTGCCTCACACTGTGTATTTGTATAGCACTGGGGTACAGTGGGGCTTCAATTTCTGGTAGGAATTTTAGGTGCTCTTATGTAAATGATAGCAAATAATGTATTATTTAATATTGATATTTTCTATTATATCTTACCGCCAAATTCCAGGACATTTGAGAATAATGTCATGAGGTTTCTCACTGTAAAAAAGAAACACAAAACACAGGGTAAGTTAGAGAGCAGAACCCAGCTACTATTTAAACTTTTGGTCTGGGCACCTTCTAGAAAGGCAGACTGTATGGAACTATTTCCATGCTACAGGATTATGGCTGAGAACATGCCATAAATCATGATGTTGCAGATGTGAGTCTGGTAGGTAGTAAAGTTAGCCAAATGAAAGTCCACCTCCTCCTCATGTAAAGCAGCGTCCTTTTGGAAGTCATTAAAAGGTTTGTGATTTACAGTCAGTTTATATAACATTTATTGGGTCTTTCAAATAGAATTATAATAGTGATGCTTGGAACAGATTGACTTGCATGGGACCACAAGTCTTACACTGCCACAAGCTGTTGTTCACCTCTGTGTTATAATTCTTTGGAGACAGTTTACTTAAAGTTCTTGAAGCCAACTGTCATGAGTCTGAGCCCTAGAAGCGAGAGGAATGCAAATCCTAGCACATGAAACTGTGAAAATAAGGTCACTGTAGGTTTACTAACAGCCACAATCTATGAGATGTCCCAGACTTTTCAGAACCATATGTACTGATTATTTTTATATATGGAATTTCTTCCAAGATCTACCTGGGGCCAGATTCACTTTGCACCTACCATTTTTAGGTAATATGAAGGACAGCTACAAGAAAGATGTACATGTAAATTAAACACCTGTTATTTAAACTGAAGGCTGAGTACCTTGAGACAGTGTTGCAAGTACTCTCTGTATTACAAATACTGGTTCATTCTGTAGTACCTAATTTGAGAGTATGCCCATGTTGTAGTGAGAGGTGTGATGCCTCACAAGCAGGGATACCTGCCTAGCTTTTATCTAGCAACTGTGGAGTTGCTGTGACAGCCTGGATTTCAGAGTGGACTGTTCAAGGGTGACAGTGATGCATCCTGTACAGAAACTGAAAGAACAAGCCATCAGTGAAGTCTATACTGTTGCAGCTTCATTGATTTCTGGTACTCTAGGTATACTGAAGATAATTCAGGTATGAACTATCTGTGTGGCACTCTGCTTTTACAGGAGCGCACTATATACTAAATAGAATGGTAGCTTGTCATATGGAAATAATGGTTATTATTCAGCATATCTCTTCTATGAAGATATTCAAGGCAGTGTCTCTACCCTTATGAGCTATTCATCTAATTCTTTCCTGAGGCTGTGAGTCATGGCACATCAGATTTCGGTTTAAAATTCAGAACCAACTGTGCTAATATCATATAGTGTCTTTCTGGCAAACACTGCAAATTCTCAGAACACACATCTGCAATTCTAAACATGCTAGAGACTTGGGTTACAAAGTTTAGTTTAGAAGCAAGCTGCCAATATACACAAAAAAGTTACTGCATCACAAAAACTATCAGCCAGTTACTGAGATGATTGCTGCCTGAATATAAGCTAAAAGCCCTGATGCTTACAGGTCCATCTGCCTTTTCAGGTAACTGTTTTTTTGCTTATGTTCCAACAACTCTTTCAAAATAAGCCTTTTCCCGCACCCTGTGATCTCACCAGGGCATCACAAAGACTTTGCATTGCATATTCTACTATATATAGTCTCTATGGTAAAAAAATAATCCTCATGGATTTAAATGTTCTGCTCCAGAGCTGCTCAGAGGAAAGACATAGCGAAGGTTTCCTGTTGAAAATTGCACGTATTCAGCACACATAAGGTACATCCAAATAGGAGGGAGAAGGTGTTTGTGTCCTGCTGCTGGATGGCAAGATCACAATAAGCATGTGGATATGGAAGAGATGTAGCAGGTTTCTGAACCTCTGCCCCTGAAGTACTTGGGGAGGTAACTGTTTAGCGTCTCCATTACCTGGGCTGTTGCACTTTGTGGAAACAATTAATATTCATCAAAGGATGTGAAGGTGGGATCAATAATATTTGAGGGAAACCACTGAAAGTTTAGACAACTTGGCAAACGTTCACCATGTTTGGCACTATTGTGAAAACAATTCAAAGTGTTAAAACAATTCCGAATCAGGACCCTAATAATCGGGAATTCAAATAAACCCATGATGCCATATTCTGAAAGGTAGCTTCTTCCTGAACTGAATATAATGTCAAGTCCATGACCTGCTGCTGGAAACATTTAACAGTTTGGCTGATGCAGTAACCCTCGGCCTCCAGTGACCTATTGCTTCCTTATATCTGAAGCAGGGTAGAGTTATTTAAGATGTAATATTGTCAAGCTTATGTATGTATGCTTGCACATTATGTGTATGATGTGTTTAAGTTAGTGCTTTTTCCATGTTCCAATTTAAAGGACTGCTTTTTTCAAGTTCTAATTTTATTGATGCAAAGCAAGATACACACGGTAAGTCATAACAGGATAACCATATGCCACTCAATCATTTGATTTACATTAAGGAAACAGCATCAGGGTTTTCTGAAAGCTGTCATTTTGAAATGCCTAAGCTAACAGCTAAGGCATTCTTATCACGTAGTGAAGTTCCTGAGGCTGGAGTATTTCATCAATGACACTTCAACTGAGGAATTTTTAAAATATGCTGATTTGTTTGAAGGGGAAAAAAAATGGTTTAAAAATATCTGCAAAGAAAGGTTTGAAGAAATGTCAAAATTGGTATTTTGGCTTTTCTGAACACAGAAGTTTAGGTACATTTCCTGAGAATGTACTGGGGGCAGGTAATGGGGAGGGGTGTTTAGAGGAAAAAAAAAGTACACAATTATAGATGTTACACTAGTGTACATGTCCAAAATGGGGTTAGTTTTGGACAGGGGTCAAGGTCTACTGATGCATCTCTTCTGTTTCATATCCAAACCAGCAGCATAAGTGGAATGGATGCAATCATTTTGTAGCTCCATTCCAATGTGACTGCCTTTATTGCCACTTCTGGCTTTGAGATGCAATGAGTATTTTTTTTAGCCAGTGAAACATCAGCTACTTAGCTGCTGCCTTCCGAGCAATGGTGGCGAGTTACTTCCTATCCAACTAATACGGAAAAGAAAGTATCCCACTCTTACCTCCAATGAATACAATCAGGTAGCAAATATCTGAGTTGTTTATACTGAATTCTCTTAAACCTTTCATATCACACAAATCCTGATTTCCCTCCTGGATTTCTCTCTGTCATCCCTGGCTTCCTTATCCTCGGTCTGGGTAACACCGGGCTACAGAGCATTGTAGGAAGGGATTTCAGTTAACAAAATCAAGGTATGTAGGATGTGCTTCTGCTCTTTTCCTAGTCCTTAAAGACCGTAAGTGTTGGTTTGGCCCATTATTCAATGTTACAACAAGACTTAGGTTTGTTGTTGCAGTTTTTGCTAATGAAGTTCTGCCCCTAGGCCCCTCAAGCAGCGTATTTTGCTTATGGTTGAGTGTACAGGGGTTGGAATCCTTTAGCCAGAGGAAAGTCTTTCAGAAACAATGCTGTAGGGGATGTAGAAATATTGGTGAGTCAGTTAACTATATAATAAGATAGGAATAAGCATAATAACCTTTTTTATATGGAACACTCACCTGGGAATCAGGAGACCTAAATTTAAATCCCAGGTCTGTGTCTGCACCCTTATGTAATGTTATGTAGTCACTTAAATTTTGTGTGTCTTAGTTCTGCATCAATAAAATGGAGGTAATGTGCAATTACAAGGAGGTTTAAAATAGATAAAGATGGAGAGACAGTCAGAAACCACGGGAGAAGGGTCCTGTACATGGCGCACAAACAGACATATATATTATCATTATGGATTTTTCCCTCACAGCCCAGCAAGGTGGCTCTTTACATGTATAATCCTCATGGTAAAAATCATCCTAGTGAATTAGATGTTTGTGTGCTGTACTGAGAAATGTTCCTTATGCAAGAAATCTCTACCTAAATAAGAATGCTCTGGAGACACTTAAAGTACAAATAAAAAATGGTGATGTCAACTACTGTGTGTCTTTTAAGCAAGAGAAATGTTACTTTTTTCACATTGCCTCAGTCTTTCTCCTGATTTAACTGCCAAAAAGTCCTCTGATCACAACAGTGCTCTTGTATAGCTTGACCTGCTGTACCGATCCTAAGTACTGCAATATATTTTAAGGTGGAATGAGATGTGAGCATTTTAAATTAGGTTATGTACCTTAAGGTGGCAGTTGCTGCTCCCAGGCACAATTAGAGTAATGAAATGAAAGCTGATTTAATGGTTACAATAAAAGAAAGAAAATAGCAAGGTCTGGCCAGACCAGTTTTTATTCAAGTTTCTATTAGGAAAGAATGGAGCTCATAAAAGTAATACCAGGCTGGAAATCATAATGTTATATCATGGTAAAGACTGGGTATGTTTTTGCTGAGAATTTTGTAAAAATAAATTGTTTTTTATATTTATAATCAGCACCAGAAATATATTTCAGAGTGTGTTCTCACATAGTGAAGCTGGCTAACATTTATCTGAGCTGTATTTGGTCAATTTAGCAGTAACAGTATATAGACATACACACTTGAAAATATTTTGATGGACTATTTGCCTATCCTGTCATCTTTGATCTGTGGCAAGAGGGATTTACTTTTCTTTCTTAATACACATGCCCCACATAGCTTGTGGTATTTTGGTGCCTTTTCCACGTTGCCCTTGATGCTCCCTGTAGCCCTCAACAAACCAAAAACATTCTCTTCTTTAGAGCTCTCCTGTCAGGAGTTAGGCTGCCAGTGTGCTGAGACCACTGACTAAATCGCTGACCAAAGCTGTGTCATGGTTTCCTTGAACTGTCCCTGGACTTGTCTGTTGTTTGACATCTTCAGTTATAAACCTTTTGGTCAAGGACTCTGATTTATTTTCTTTGCACAGTGTGTTAGGGCCATAGACTGCAAGTTAGAAAACTGGGTGGTTTTTTTTCTCACAGTAGTGCAAATAATAAATGTCTGAGGCAGGACAAAGCCATGCAGAACAATACTTTCAAATCAGTGTTTATGACCATAAGTAAAACTCCATAAATAAATTAGCTTTAACTCAAGAAATGGGTTCTTGTATGTACTAGAATGCATCTTGCACCCTGCGTGCGCTCAAAAAATATAACCATGTCACTTCATGCCCAGATACTGCCTCTACTGAACCATGCAGTTTGAAATCTAAATGGGCACTTGAACTTTAGTCCTGATTTCGTTCAAGTCAAACAGCATAATTCCAAATGCTTTTTGATAATTATTTTTATTACCACGCTATTTTTTCTCTGATCAAAGAATGAATTTTGCCAGTGGTCCACTGGGACAATAATTAAAAAGAAACCAAATGGATTTGTAATTATTTTATTCCTGGTTAATAGAATTTCTCTAGCCCTAATAGTTATGTAACTTGCAGTTACTGTGATCTCAACTCTATTGAGTTTAATGTCTCTTTGAGTTTTGGACCAGGTCCTCAGCAGAGTTTTGTCTGGTTTTGGCAATTAAGACATGATCTGAGTTAATTTGTGTCTCCAGGAGGCATGGTTTGGAACTGATCCTTATCTGTCTGCTTTCAAGTTTCTTCCTGAACTTTGAACAACCGGTATTGAAAATGCAAGTCATGATAGCGTATTAAATATTAAAACCAGTTTAAGATTTAATCCCAATTTATAGTGCAGCTTTGTCTAATTTACTGCATATTACACAATTTCCTTTACAGATAACTTTTAGTATGCTATATAAATAATAAATCAACCTCTCATGATTCTCAATTGTTCCAATATGGTTTTATATTAAACTTACATTTGCCATCATTTAAATGTTGCTAGACCAATTTATTTTTTTTATTTTTTTTTCTCTTTTACCTATTCAGCCCACATGTTAGTTCTTTTATAAGGTTCTTTTTTGTTGCAGGTTCTAGCTAGAAAATTATAGGCATTTAAAGTTCTCTGTTGTTGTATCTTTACAGCAAAATAGAAACAACCTTAGCATGTATTAATGACAAAGCAAAAACATAGGTTCAGTAGGTTACAGTTCATCCCTAATCAGTGACAGTATCTCTGGTGTCATGTTCTGTACTCCATCTATACAATCAACTGACAGCCTGAGA